GCCATGAAGAATTTCAGGCTCGAATCGAAACACTTCCGGTGCAGTAGATCTAACCTCAGCATAATTAAAATTCTGTTTATTGTAATCGAAAGAAAAAATATGCTCACATTCGGCTACACTTCGGACACCAATGATTTTGAATAAAGAAGCGCCTAATTTAAATTTTCTTCTGAAACTTGGTGGAGTCCAACTCCAAAAGGACTGAAAATGCAATGAAGAAACAAGAAGGAAGAAGAAAATTATTGGCCTTCGCGCAAATCATCTAGTGTGTATAGCATGTGATGTGCTTGTTATGGAAAACCGTTTGCCTATCGCTCTAGAAACTTCTATGCTGCAAAATCGTTTATCTTTTATTAAATGCCCAACGTTCGTGACAGGTGGCAAGGAAAACCCCGATTTGCGATCATTATTGAGTCGAGAGAGGCATCAACACAACAAACACTTCGAATTTTCACCATTATGTTTCCCTAACTTTTATGGGATCGAATTGCCTGTAATATTGTTCAGTCGCTTCGATCAATTTTGTACATATCTGAAAAAGTGAATTAATGATTCTAGCTCAGAGAACACATCGCCACTGTGTTCCTGGATTAAGCATTTGTCATATCGTCAGGACTGGGGACGAATCGATATAGCAGATTGGTTGTGCTGCTGGCGCTCTGTTTGACAATCGTATGGCTGAAACTGGTTACTGTGACTGGGGCCGCATAGAGCTACCGACATGAACGAGAAAAGCGATGACATACACCGCATTTGCGGTTTGCTAAATGGAGCTTACCGGAGGGCTTATTCAGTAAACTTCTGGAATGGATCTATCAGTGCACCTATTTCTCACAGTACGATAACCCCAGAATAATTTTACTCTTTGACCACAAAGCCGACCGACATTGACCGGGAGAAATCGAAAAGTTCTGTTGTCTACAAGAGATCTTTGATTCCGAACATAAACGTAAGCTATTTCGACAAATCTCCTGTCATGTGATGCCATCGAAGCCCCATTCTGAGTGAATCGCCGGCATACCGAATGAAGTAGATAAGTTGAAAACCAAGTTCTTGATGCTAGTTGTCAATGAAATAGTGTCCGTATACAGCAATAGACCTTACTTGGGGGCATGCAATGATTCTTTACCAAGTGGACGGACACATGCGGAGGATGTGAGTGTTGAGTCAACGTTTTATTATGGGAAATATCTAAAAGCGGTTGCTTTTCTTATCCCAAAGGGTTTAGCACAAATGGATCGATTTACGTTTTATAGAAAGCTAAGGAATGTCACAAACTATCTTCGTTTTGTGCACTGCTGCGGATGCTGAAATCCAAGACTTTTCAATGTTTCATCCAGTTTGTGCCTGGAATAATCAATTGTGGGTGAAGAAAATAACGACATGTTTGTGTGGTAATCGTGTAACGAGTACGCACGCACCGCAGTACGGCTTCCAGGTAACTAATCAAAAAACGAAAAAACCGACCAGTACTGTGGTCTCAATTGGCACAAACCGGATTGGCCGAATGCAAGAAGGCAAACAAATAAACCATGTCGTTGTCGATTGAATATTCAAGAATCGACCAATGATTGTTTGTTGCTTGTGACATATATTTACATGATTTTCTGAATGGAATTAACTGTATCCACAGCCCGTCCTGGTTCTACCTGACTTTGCGCTATTCAGTGGGTTCTCAGTCCGATTCCGAGTTCGCGCTATTCGATTTCGATTCCTACTCCGAGTACTACAATTGGCGTCGCGCAATGGAAATTCCTGCTATTGAACAACTGAACCTCCGCGGAAATCGAAGATTGAGTAGAAAGTTTCGAACTATGGTGCAGCATCCGGAAAGGAGGAATACAAAACCAATCGGTCCTATTCTGGACGTTGGGCGGCCAGAGCTATATTCCCTGGTGAAGAATTTAGCGTTCCCGAGTGTTCCTGCTGAATTAACGTTTGAGAAGTTGAAATCTTTATTGCTGGATCACATTCTCCCAGTAGATTTTCTGGCCACTGAACGAGCTAAATTCAACTCAATGATCAGAGCTGCCAACATGCCGTGCCGTGAATTCATTCTTCAGTTGAGTGAACAGGCGTCAAAATGCAACTATGGTGATCAACTGAAAGCACAACTTTGTGATAATCTCAGTGCTGGAATCAACAGCATTACATTGCAACGTAAGATGTTGGAAAAGAAAGACATCGCGTTTGTTGAGGCTCAAAAAATCTGTGAGAAAAGTGATGATCTTTGTGCTGCCACAAATGCGGATACTCCTGTGTTATTCCATCGGCAATCAACGAAACTATTACGTGATGCACTCCGTATTCATAATGCACTCCCGGTTTCTCAACTACCCAGTTCAAACCGAACACAACGGAAGGCTGCGACCAACCGCTGCTTTTCATATGGTGAATACCATCTTCGTTCGACTTGTCGGTTCTGCAATGCCACTTGCCATGAATTCGGTAAGATGGGCCATATCCGCAAGGTATGCCGAATGCCCAAGTGCAACCTCGTCGATTCCCATAGCCCAACGGCAGATGAGAGTTCAAGCCCAATCTACACACTGCAGACCCGAACCCAACAGCCATTCTATGTTCGCCCCACTGAGATTCGAGTCTGGTGGGGAGCATCGATTGATCATGGACACAGGAGGCAGCGAATCTATCATACCGAAATTAGCACTCACTGCTATTTGTCCCAGTAATGTTCTAGTCCCGACTTCAGTGCCCATTCATGGGGTTACCAGCCGTCAATTACACTTACTTGGCGAAACAATTTCGAGCGTTTAATCTGAGTCCGGTGTGTCAATCTCGATCCGATTCCTGGTATCAGCCCACAGTCCTGCGAGCAATGCGGCTACTACAAGGGTCAATCACACTTCATACCAACAGCGATAAGCCAATCATGTCAGATCTTCAACATATGATTGTTCAATGTTCCAGTAACGTTGGTGGCATGAAGGTACAGTCGGTAAAGTTGGAAATGGACGACGAACCTGTCTTTCTAAAACGACGCGTTCTCGCATAAGGTCAACGTGAAGGTGCCCTGAAAGCATTACAAAAAATGAAACCTGCTGGTGTGATAAGCAAAGTTGAATCCAGTGCCTGAGCGACCCCGATTGTCGTGGCGATTAAACTGATGGTAGGACACCACGCATCTGTGGAAACTATCGACTGACGTTGAATCCCCGATTGCGGAGATGTGCAGCGACCACCGTGGAACCAGAGGATTTTATGAAGTCATTGCATGGTTCCCAGTATTTTTTCAAGATCGATTTGGCGGACGCCAACATACAGCTTCCACTCAATGTCAAAGCTCACTGCTTGAAAACAATCAACACTCTGTGGGGAATGTACCAGTGTAATTTTCTCCCGTTTGGATTGCAGGTGTCGTCTGGCCTCTTTCAATCGGCAATAGACAGTGTAATTAAAGGACTCGACGGTATGCTTGCATATCAAGATGACGTCCTCATTTTCGGCCTGAATAAGAAAGAACACGTTGCCTGTCTTACACAGCTACTGGAAGGATTCGTCACCAGGAACGTGGCTATCAAGCCGTCCAAATGTGCGTTTGATGTGAGTGAGCTGGAGTTTCTAGGGTTCACAGTTGATGCTCGTGGATACTGTCCCGATCCAACACGTTTCAAACCATCGACTAACATCGAATCTCCAGAGGATCAAACGCATTTGAGATCCGTGATGGGATGCCTACAGTACTATTCCCGATTTATCCCGAACTTTGCTACAAGGACGCAGCCGTTTTTTGTGCTCAGTTTTTAGGCGCTTGGGAATGGTCGGTGGAGTGTGAAGATATCTTACGTGGTTTAATTCGTTGCGTTACTGATCGTCCTGTTCTAGTCCCTTTTTCATCATCAAACCTACCATACTAATCCCCGATGCGTCCGACGTCGGAACCGGTGCTGTATTAGAACGAGAGGGATGGTCAGTGACCTGCATTTCACGTCTACTTAATGCGGCTGAAAACGGATACTCGCAGACTCAGAAAGAAGACCTTGGAGGTGTTTTAGGCTCTCCGGGAGACTGCACAAGTGTTTGTTTGGACTGCACTTTACTATTGTGACGGATCATCAGGCGCTACAATTCTTATTCAACCCCAACAGTTCTATCGCTAAAACAACAGCCACCGTGATTCAAAGATGGAATATTGCACTGGTAGCTTACGATTATGGTATTATACATCGGCCAGGCAAGACGATTCCATAGGCAGACTTCCTATCCAGGTACTCACGCTTTGGCGCCGCAGAGAAATGCAATTTTGTCCATCGGGAAGAGTTGGCTGTGCAATTGGACGGTGTTCTCTGCCGCGGTGATTGACTGATCATACCTCCGCCGCTCCAAAAATCAATCTTAGAGGACCTCCACAAAGGCCATTGGGGAGTGGAGAAGATGAAATCTTTGGCTCGACAAATGTGTTAGTGGCCTGATTTGGATGCAGAAATTTGCCCAGCTACGAAGAATTGCGAGGTGCACAAAGTAAAGGTGAAACCGAAAAGCTGGACTCGGCCAAAAAAGTTGTGCACCGTGACAACGGGTACATGCGGACTTATGCAGCCCACTTCTGAATAGATACTATGCCTTGGTTCTCGTTGATTCCCACTCAAAGTGGCCCGAAGTATTTCTGACAAGTATGCCAACAACATCCTTCGTTATTCAGGCTCTCCGGAAGTGTTTCAGTCGGGAAGGTATACCATAAGTGCTCTTCACAGACAATGGATCTCGATTCAGTGCCACGGAGATGAAAGCTTGGTTCGACAGCACGGAATGTAGACATTTACGTATAGCCAATAAGACATCCCTGTTCTGATTGTCAGGCTGAGAATCTTGTGAAAACAATCAAGGGTGCACTGGCATCCGCGAATCCGAAATCAATTGCGGACTTGGAGGCGTTTCTGGACAACCTCCGATTGCAATACCGAAACGCGACACATGCGACTACCAAGGAAAGTTCGGCAAAGCTATTTAAGTCACGGTGCCTGAGGTCTTCCCTGAGATGTATGGATTCTATTGATAGGGCATACTTCAGGGGTAACGATCTGCGCCCGGTTCGTGGCATCATCACTAGAAACTTGAGTCAGTCAATGGTGGAGATAACCGATTTGACAGATGCATCTGTCCACCGACGGCACATCGACCAGATACATTTCAGAGACGAACAAACTGTCAGTGTTTCAGAACCCCATGAAAAAGAGGATAATCCTAGCAATTCCGAACCGCCTGAATCTGAAGCTACGGTTCCTCAATGTCATGATGTTGAACAAGCAGATGCAGTGCAGCCGGCAGAATCGGAAGCCAAAACCAGCGCAACACTAAGAAGATCACGACGGAAGGCAAGTCAAATTGATGAGGCTCTTTTGAGGGAGGAAAGTTGTGGTGATCGTGTAACGAGTACGCACGCACCGCAGTACGGCTTCCAGGTAACTAATCAAAAAACGAAAAAACCGACCAGTACTGTGGTCTCAATTGGCACAAACCGGATTGGCCGAATGCAAGAAGGCAAACAAATAAACCATGTCGTTGTCGATTGAATATTCAAGAATCGACCAATGATTGTTTGTTGCTTGTGACATATATTTACATGATTTTCTGAATGGAATTAACTGTATCCACAGCCCGTCCTGGTTCTACCTGACTTTGCGCTATTCAGTGGGTTCTCAGTCCGATTCCGAGTTCGCGCTATTCGATTTCGATTCCTATTCCGAGTACTACAGATACAGTTCCAAATACTGCATATTCTTAGAGAAAATAAAAGACGCCGGCAATCTAGCCGACAATTTTTGAGCACATATTTGAATGGGTTCCCCCTGAAGTGACGGTTGCGCGGTGTGCAATGAACTACGTGGATGATCAGGGTTTTGCACTATTTGATACACCAAGATCAATTCCCCCCCCCCCCGANGATACGGTGTGGAGTAAAGCCCCAATAATTCGAGTCTTTCCACCTAAGTCTTGGAATGCAGTCCCTTGAATCATTAGGTGTCTATATGGGGTAGAATGTAGGCTGATAGCAAACGTTGGAACAACAAAGGTTCGAATTTGCCAAATACTCGCTTAAGAAAACCAACAAGTCTCGCAACTATGGGCGATGTCCTGGAGCAGTTTAACGAACAACTTTAGGTCGTCTTGGACAATGGCATCAAAATCCTTTTCATTCGAGGCATAAGGAAGTTACTGATATCCCAGTTAGTACTGAAACCGAGTTTTATGGTGAAGGAATATATATATATATATATATATATATATATATAACATCGGTTTGCGGACAAGTATGGTGCCAACGCCAATAATTAAAAAAAAACAATAAGGGGATGGTGGGGTTGGGATACAGAACATTAAAATGACGGAACTGTTAAAATGGAAAATTGCAAATAAATGGGATAACAATTTTTTGTTTCACCGTACACCTTTTGAAATGCTTTTGTTTTAGTTTATCGTTTTCTTTTATGAAGCACGGGACTTCAACAGGCACACCGTACAGCATTCGCGCCATTGACTTCTATTTTGGGCCATATCTCTTAGAGTCTCTAACCAATGACAATCCTCATCCCTTGGGCCCCAGCCTGGAAGGCGGGCTGCACCAACCGAATTCAAACCTGAAGCCTGCTTTCTCATACCCCTACGCTATGTCATGGTCTTACCGCCGCGGCGCTTCTTCCAGCCTTGCCCGCCACGTGCGAAGAGAGCGCGAAAAAGTATTCGAAGGGAGAAACAGGTAACAACCTTTTAACTCCAATCGAAAGCCTTCCACCAAATCAGGACTTCCATGCAGGTACAGACTGATTCGCCACCAAGGCTGGATTGATATTTCACATTTGACTCACAGTTATTTGTGAGTAGTGGTGTGGAACAATTGATTTTTATTGATTTGATCTGATTATCCTTCGGACTTCACCTTCACGCTTCGTTGCTGTTGGGCCAAAATGAACTGACTATCACTGAAGACGACACACGAACAAACATGATTTGGCAACTTGATTCAGCCATGGCATGAGCTGGTTG